CGAAGCTTGCACCATCGACATATCGTGGGGCCATTGAGAGCAGCCTTGCACTGGAAGTGTCATGGTGAAACGAAAGTGCGGCGTCAACCTTCACGTCTGGAAAAGTCGACCAACCCTAAACCCTAAACCCTAAACCCGCCATCAATTGCACAACTGATGCAGGTAGGCAAAGCCAATCGTTGCCTGACACGAAGTCTCCCCTTGTAAATAACCCAACCCAATGTTTGTGGTTTAGGGTTTAGGGTTGAACCCGGTCCTCAACCCTATATAGCCTTAGATACACTCTAAATCCAAATCCCGAAACCTTAGATCCCGAAACCTTACATCTTTAAATCCTTGCCCAAGACCCCAAATCCTCAAGCGTAAGCCCCCGCATGTAATTTAGAGTCTCCTAAATCCGGACCGGGCCTTTTCCACCCAGAGCCCTCCGCGCTGGTCCATCACGTATGGAAGCAGGGGCTAAAATCAATGACTGGGGACCTGCCGTGCCGCTTTGCTCATCAGATTTCATGTTGTGTTTTCCTGGGTGCTCCTTTGCCAAATTCTGCACAGTCTAGACGGGACAGGGTCACTCTAGCATACTGTATGGCTTTGCAAGAACCCCTTGAAGGTTTGAAGGTTACAAGCACGGAGGAGGTTGAGCGATACTCAAGCCCACATGATTCGATGAAATTGCAGGGTTTGGAGAGTCACTGCTGCGGTAGTCATTGGTCCTGTCGTTCGTATTCGTTCGTATCAAGCCTTAGCAACTCCCGCCTCTCCACGGCCCGGCATTGCTGGGAAACGAAACTGTCTCTTAAGCGGAGAAGGTGTCGTTCTTTCAGTTATTGTTTTGCTACTGGTTTGTCATGTTTTGTCTCCGTGTCCGCCTGGTTCAGGACGTACCCGAAGCAACAAATAAGAAGTGTTCTGGAAGTGCAGAGGGTGGCGATTGCAGTCACTCAGCCATGCCCGGCCCAAGGCCCAAGGCCCACTCCACTCGTGGAGTGATCTGCCTTGCGAGTCTCAGTCAGTTGGGCCTTGTGGCATCGGAGCTGAGGCCTGAGGCGGGAGAGCGTGCAGACGCGATGGCACTTGGAGAGAGGCATTGGAGATCATGGCGCCACAGGCTTTGCCACAGGCCAGGGAGGGCACCTCGTGGCAGCAAGCTTTGCTTGGGTGCAGAAACCAGGCGGTGTTTCGCAAAGCCATCAGCAGCTGTGGAGGCAGGTGGCAAGCCGCTGTCCAAGTCTTGGCGGATGTCATGGAACTTCGCACGACGCCCACCGTCTATTGCTTCAGTGCCTCCATCACAGCTTTGCATAGAGGCTGGCGGTGGCAGGCGGCAATCGCGACGCTCTCCGAAATGCGAGCTTACAACGTGTCCTGGAACCAGGTCACCCTTAGCGCTGGCCTCAGCGCCTGCAAGACAGAAAACTGGCAGCTGGCGTTGAGTCTCTTTTCGCAAATGGTCTCTGGCCGGATCTCGCCAAATGCTATCAGCTTCAGTGCTGCCATCAGTGCCTGTGAAAGTTCAGGCAATTGGCAGATGGTGTTGGGGTTGTTGTCCCAGATGTCCATCGATCAAGTACCGACGGATGTGGTCAGCTGCGGCGCTGCAATCAGTGCTTGCGGAAAAGGCAGCGACTGGAAGACGGCCTTACTGTTGTTGTCCCAAGTGCTTGTACAAAGGCTTCAGACGGACTTGATCAGCTTTAACGCTGCCATCAGTGCCTGCGAAAAAAGTGGCAAATGGCAAACAGCATTGCTGTTGCTCTGGCAGATGCCGGTCATCAGACTTTCTGCAGACGTGATCAGCTGCAATGCGACCATCAGCACGTGCGAAAAGAGAGGCGAATGGCAGTTGGCTTTGTACCTGCTGTGGTCAATGCCAGAAGCCAGGCTGGTGGCAAATACGATCAGCTATAGTGCTGCTATCAGTGCTTGCGAGAAGGGTGGCAGCTGGCAGGTAGCAGTTCGTTTGTTGTCCTGTATGCTCGGGGCTCGAATTCCGACGAGTGTGATTGGCTTCAATGCGGCCATCAGTGCTTGCGAAAAACGCGGCATTTGGCAGATGGCTCTGCATTTGTTGTCGCAAATGCCTGCGGAGGAAGTCTCAGCGGATGTGATCAGCTGCAATGCCGTGATCAGTGCTTGTGAGAAGGGTGGCGGTTGGCACCAGGCTTTGCTCTGCCTGTCGCAAATGCCTGTCGTCAGAATTTCTCCTAACGTAATCAGCTCCAACGCTGCCATCAGCGCTTGTGAGAAAAATCAAGAATGGCCAGTCGCGGTGCTCTTGCTGTCCCGCATGCTTCTGGCTCGATTGCCGGCAGATGTGATCAGCTTCAATGCTGCCATCGGAGCCTGCCAGAAGCGTGGGAAGTGGGAGATGGCTGTGCTCTTGTTGTCACGCATGTGCGGCGCGCGGGTCGTGCCCGACATGACCAGCTTTGCTGCGGCCATCTGCGCATGTGAGGAGAGTGGAAATTGGCAAGCTGCTTCCGTCTTGATTCTCACAGTGGCAGCAGGCCGTGATCAGAGTTCTGCTCTACACAGTGTGTGGCGCAACTCTGTTTACATTGAAAAGGAGAGGGCGGTGTTCCGGAGTCCGCCAGACCCCTCCGAAGAGCAGTGCTTTGAGAAGCGGAACCGTGCGAGAGCACGAGGCATTCCAGGCCACACCGTGGTTGCCTTGAGCTACAGAGGCCGACGTGACGAGCTGTCCAGAAAGGGCAGACTGTGCTGGTTTGGCAGATGGAGGTACGCCAGGGCCGCTAGGGAAGATTGAAACACAACGTGTCTCTGCATACCGGCTACACTACAAGGCTGTAGAGGTCTTCTACTGCCGCGACTGCAAGAAAGCTGTGACTTCTACCGCAGCGACATGACCATGACGACTGCGGCAGTGACAACATCGACCACCACCACAGCCGCCTCCACGACGCCACAGTGTCCGGGTTGCACCGCGCTCACACCCAAAGGTGGCTCCGTGTCTCGTGTGACAGCGCAAAGGCAGAGCAGAAGTCTCGACAGCAGCCCGGAGCGGCACCTCTGTTGGGATTGGGATGTGGAGGCATGCTTCAAGAAGGATAGCATTCGGTCCGAGGGTGCCCCCTTAAACACCGGCTAGTACAGTTTAGCAACGAAGTGAGTGAGACCTTGGCCTTAGTACAGCCTTAGCTGCTTAGCAGGACAACATCTGGATGAGCATTTGCGTTGATCAGCTCAACCAGCTGTGGCTTCCGGTCCCTGAGTGCAGAATTCGTTGGGGGGTTCGTGAACCGGGAACCGGTGGATTGCCTTCCTCATTTGTTCGGATTCTGGAAACGCACATACCTGCGAACTGTTTCCAGGAGACCATTGATCTTTGCAGGTCAGTTTCGCTCCTCAACTAATTTTACAAAAACCAAATATGTTCCTGCTGAAACCGGGCACGGACGGATATGCAAAGACATCGCCATGGATTCCATGAGGCTGTCATGCCATTCTTGAGAGGATGTGACACGTCGGCTCCAAGGGCTGCAAGTCGCCTCTCCCTTGCCACACGGCAGCGTACTACTCGCTTTTCTTCGTTCTCCCTTCCCTTTCGGCTGAGATCTTCTTGCCTTGCTCCTGGATGGTGTCGCCAGCGGCGCCGGCGCGTTCCTGCGGGGAGGAGTTTTTCCGCAGTTTCGATGATCTGGTGAGTGCTTCGGGGGCAGCCACTGCTGCGAAAGTGGACTATTGGCGCGGGGGTCTCCAAACGGACGAGCGGCCCGGTCACTATGCCGAGTACCTCCTGAACTTGTCGGAGGTTTGTGCCTCCACCTGTTGGGGTGCGGGACGCTTGGCGTAGACTTTTCTAACAAATTAGGGCTTCTTAGGGCCGCAATGACCGTGATTGTGCTTGAACGTGTGTGAGCTGTGATGGCAGGAGCAAGGTATTGGGAGCTGTCGCTGGATCGCGAACTGTACTTTCGCAGCTGGATTGAGAAAACTTCCCGGTTGGATTGCGAAGGTTGCAGTGAGCTGCCAGCAAAGGTGGAGGGGCTGGCTCCTGTGGTGCACGTGGGCGTCTGCGCTCCCGAACTGTGCTCTGGTGGGGAGGTCAGGGAGGAGCTTCTGAGCAGAGCTCTGGCAAGTTCGGAAGACCCAGATTATCGCAAAACAAACTATAGATTTTAGCATAGTGTAGTATAGTATGGTTAGCAGCTAATATATAATAGTACGGTATATTATAGTATATCATGTCTGTCAGCAAACTAAAACTAAAGTAAACGTTCCAAAGTTGCCTGCGTCGTCGGAGAAACACATGTTTTGGATCCTTTGAGCGTGTCTCCATTTCACCCTGGCTCTTGGCTGACGAGGATACTTGATGCATGTCCTCGGTGCCGCCCTGGCATTTCCAGCGCCAACAATGGCTGAAGCCCAGATCGAGGAGCTTTCTCATTGGTCGAAGTTTGAACTAGATTTCGTCATCGCTGGAGTTGACAATTGTGGCACCACTTCTCTTGGCCGCTGGTTGCAGCAGCTGGAAGAGGTGGAGTTTAGTCGAGGCGGTGAAGAAGATGCGTCGTTTTTTTCACACGACAGGCTCTTGCCTTACGTGTCTGAGGTCCAGGCTTTCAACTCACAGTGGCGGAGTCCGTCAACTTTGAAAGGGCTGAGACATCCAAGCTTGTGGGCTCACCTTCGTGTCCGCATGGCTCTAGCCCGTATTCAGCGCTTGCGAGTCTTGCTTGTTGTTTGCGATCCATTGAGCCGTATTGACAAGGCTTTCTGGTGGTATCATATCTGTAACCCTCCGCTGCCGCACCCAGAGGCAGGCCCGCTGCTGCGCACACCGGGGACCTGCTTTCGCAGCATTTCCAGCGTCCTGGAGGACCCGCAATTCCTCAGGCGTTTTGAGGCGGGGAAGTTATGAATGCTCCCAGAAACATGGTCTCCGAAGTAGGTTTTGGATGCTTTTGGCTTGTTCCGGGGCTTAAGGTACGGAGGCATCTGGAGCATATACAGCGACTTTTTCATCAGAGACTGGCCGTACTGCATCAAGAGCATCTGCGACTGCAAGCCCCTGATGCATTCTACAGCACCCTGTACTTTCTTGGGCTTCCCGCTCCCGAGTGGGTTCGGTTGACGCGGCACAACCACCGCCCTGGACATCGCACGGACCTGTGCCACAATGCCACGCTTGTCCGGCAGTTCAAGGACGACGCAGCGAAGTAGCGAAGTGCTCGTGTCATCTCGTGTCTCATGCCTTCTCCTAGCGAGGAGCTCCTGGCACCGGAGAGTCTCCGACTGCAAGCAGGGCAGAGATTGGAATGATTGTGGGGGGGGGGGGGGCCACTTGCATTCCTGAGTGCTGGCATCTTTGCACATGGCATGAGGTATGTCTACCTGGAGCAACTGTTGAACAAAGTCGGGATGTTGCCCTCGCCTCATCTCAGTTGCAGTTTGAAAAGGGGGTAGACATTCAGCTGCGACCGAAATCCAAAGCCACTAAGGAAGCCGTGCCCTCAAATTAAACTGGACTCCCAACCCCGGCAACGTCTCTTCCCAGATTCTCTTAGAACCCGCGAAAGAGGGAAGCCCTTCGTCCCCAAGCTCCAGGCCCGTGCCGGAACAGCTGCTGCTTCGGCAGTCGCGGTGTGACCGACTCGAGGAGCTGTGGGAAGGAGAAGATTGGAGAAAGCGAGTGATGCTGATGGTGTTCATGATGGCGATAGGAAGCAGTCGACTTAAAATAAGCGTCAAGACGCAGCCCACCTTAATTACAGGTGGGGCCAGATTACGAAGGGTTTCCTGACATTGGGCAGGGCAGACGCTACATTAGGACAATAAGTTCAGTGCCAAAAGTAAGTTCAGGCGGCTACAGGTCCACCACGTCCGGCCTTGGTTTGGCAATCGTCTTGCTGTCCGATTTTTGTCAACAGAACGAATAAACGAGTTTCTGTGGTACCTCTGGGGATCAACTGAAAACTCATATGATTATCATCTATAATGCCTCGACCAATTATTCCTGTTTTGTTAGATAGAATCAATACTAACCATATAGGCGACTATATATGAATTACGAGTAGAAACAATATTCTCTAATAATTCTCTGCCGCGCTGGTCGCCTCCGTTTTTTCGTGCGCGCCCCTGACCCCTGCAACCTCGTCCTTTGGCGGGCTTGCTTTTGAAAGTCTCTTGCGTGCCTGTCTCGCGGTACT